TCATTTTCCCTCATTTAAATTTATGTCTCAGCTTGGGATTTTTAACCTGCTAAGAAAAATATAAAGAATTTTGAGGAGAACTATCAGGATAATAAAATCTCATCGATTTTGACTTCACCCTGCCCCAATACTGATAAATCTCACATCACTACTGTTTCCCTTTATACTTTCTATGGCCAAGTGGGGTATTATTAAGCAAAATCAATAATGTAAAGAAGCTAGAAGAGGAAAGCTGACCTACTGAGGATAAACCGCTTTGTGCCAGGTCAGCAAGCTCATGCACAGCCCAGCGTGGCCACCGTGGGAAGGGAGGCCGGCCCTCGCGGGCAGGTGGATGGGCGGGTACAGTAGTTCCAGACACCAGGCAGCTGTCGGGCACCACACGTCCCAGGAGGTGACTGGAGTCATTTGTCCTAGTCCAGGAGGCGGCACACAATGAGGAATTGCCAGCCAGGCACTATGCAATGATCGCTCCAAATCTCTGAAACGTCTCTTGGAAACACAGCTTGGAAAATGATTAAGAAATCCTTTTGCCACTTGCCATTTCACTCAGGTCGTGGGAACAGAGCTGCATCTGTTTTACCCACCAGGATCCCAGCTACAGCAAGGGGCGCGATGCCCTAGAAGGGGAAGGAGGAAGACAGGAAAACCAAAAGCAGAGGTGTAGGAGGGAAACTGAATCAGGCCGGGGGTGAGGTGTCTCGCGTCACCACCCCCCCAACACTGCTAAGGGGGGTTGTGGATCCTGGCACCTCAGATAAAAGGGTGCAGCAATGCTCCTTCCTAACTCTGGGGCCTGAGGACCGATGGTGAGGCATGGAAAGGGTCTCAACACCTGGAAAGGTGAGGATGATACTAATAACGGTGTGTCACCACCTCTTGAGGATGTATGGGATGACGGCTGCTATGCAACCTCGCATGTTGTTGAGGACTGAATTGCATGCCCCGCACCTGCCCCCCAGATGCCTGTGCTGAATCCCCCCCCCGCCCCCCGCCCCACTGCGCGGCTCTATTTGGAAGAAGAGTCTTTAAGGAGGTGATTAAGGTTAAATGAGGTTTTAAGGGCAGGGCCCTGATCCTATAGGGCTGATGTCCTTCCTGGAAGGGGAAGGGACAGCGGGAGCGTGTGTGCACAGAGGGGAGGCCACATGGGGACACAGTGCGACGGCAGCCATCCGCCAGCCCAGCGGAGAGGCCGCACGGAAATCCATCCAGGTGACATCACAATCTCAGACTTCCTGCCTCCCGAACAATGAGGAGGAAGTACGTTTCCACTGCTTAAGCCACTCGGACTGTGACACCGTGTTACAGCAGCCCTACCAGCTAACACACGTGTGTTAGCCCAGGTAAACCTCATCACGTTGTCCATGCTTTCAGGTGACGAAACTGAAGCACAGAGAAGGTAAGCACCTTGACAAAAGTTGCACAGCTAGTCTGCAGGGGAGCTGGAATTGAACCCAAGTGATCGGATGCCAGGGCCCATGTTCCTAACAGCTGATAGCATATAAGGTAACGTGACTAATATCCACAGTGATACAAATGGATGTTTTTTTTTTTTTAAGATTTATTTATTTGAGAGAGTGAGAGCTCACAAGAAGGGGGAGGGCAGAGGGAGATCGAGCGAGCAAGCGAGAGAGACCCTCAAGTAGACTCCCTGCTGAGCGCAGGGCTCGATCCCAGGACCCCAGACCATGACCTGAGCTGAAACCAAGAGTCGGATGCTTAACTGATTGAGTCCCCCAGGTGCCCCTCAAATGCATGCTTTTAATCAGAAAAACCCATAGCAAATACACGCTTCTGCATGTACAGTGTGCAAGGGATTTCTAATTTTAGTCCCTCTCTGCTTCTCCTTTTCCCAGCATCCAAACAGTAAACGTGTGTGGGAGCCTCATCTATCTCAAGCGTTACCTGAGGCTGGCGGGACCTGGGAGCAAGCCTTGAGGTCCGTGTTCTCCTGGAGTGTGCGTGCTGGTAAGGAAAGGCAGCCACCAGCCAAACAGAGAGGCACAGACAGTACAGCGAAAAGACAAGCCAGTCGGGAAGGGGTGGTGACAAGCAGCAGCTCAGCTGGTCCCTTCCTCCACAAGCAGTTTCTGAGCGCACACAACGAAGCCCCTGGGAGCTGTCAGCAGTGCCCACAGGCCCCAGCCTCGATGCCCCCTGTTTCTGTCTCTAGACAATGTGGCTTCTGCTCCAACAACCCATGGCTTCTTTGGTTAAGTCAGAAGTTCCTTGGGCAACACTTACCTAACTGAGTTTTAGGTGCAAGGCGAATAATTAATGCTAAAGTAGAATGTGTTCTCTAGAGTATTCTCGGAGGTTTATAGTAAGAGACATAAAGGTTGCAAGAAGCTAGAAGGGATCATTTCACTAGATGTGAGCAGGCTTTAAATGCGACGGGAGTGTTTATTCAAGCAGGTGGATGCTTATCGTGCAGCATGACACCTGCGGTCACTGGCCACCTTGCTGCAGAGTGCCTAAGGGGGAAGCAGGAAGATTTAAGGGGAGGCCTGGGAGTTGTAAAGAGAGCAAGACACTGGAGAAAATTGACAAAGCTGTGGATTCCTCTTCCCTGGAGAGCTTGGCCAATTGTATTGTGTTTTGTATTTTGGTAAGGCCTTAGCCAGAACAAGAAGGATAAAGTGGCTCACGAAGTGGATTTCCGGGCCCCAGGAGGCTCTGATAGTTCTAGAAGATAGTCAGAAATAGCACAATTTCACACCCTGCCTCCAGCACCCCTGCCACTTAGGGCAGGGCAGGGCCACTTCCTCCTTGTAGCGTTTCAGGGGGGCAATCTGTGCTAAGAAACAGTACTCGAGGAGTGCCACCGGGAAGCCCTGTGGCAGGAATGGACAAGGTCAAATGTACGCGAGGCATAAGGCCCAAGTCACTGACAACGGTGGAATCAGAAGGGTGTACCAGAGTAAGAAACGCAAGCTGCCGTTTTATATCAGGCCTGCAGAAGACGCATAGAAACGTGGTAAACCCAGGATCACGGGGTTGCCTGAACTACCAGGATGGATCTTCACAGGAGAATATGTGCTCAGTAATCTGGCCCACCAGGTAACACCAGCTTCAAACAATAGTAAGACTTGAAATAGAAAATTACTGGTGATGACTGCATGAAGGCTGGAAGAGGACAGTTTGTCATTTCATGGAGCCTAATGGGAAAGAGGTGACAGGAAAGAGAAGAGAAGAGGGGAGGGGAGAGGAGGAGGGTGGGAGAGGAGGGAGGAGGGAGGGGAAGAGGGGGAATGGAGGAGGAGGGAGAGGGGAGGAGGGAGAGAGGAGGAGGGAGAGGAATGGAGGGGGCGGGGGGAGGGAGGAGCAGGGAGGGGAGGAAGGAGAATGGAGGAGGAGGAGAAGAGAGAGGGCATGAGGGAGAGGAATGGAGGGGGAAGGAGGAGCAGAGAGGAATGGAGCGGGAGGGAGGAGAGGGGAGGAGGGAGAGGGGAGGAGGGCGAGAGGAGGAGGGAGAGAGGAGAAGGGAGGGGGGGGAATGGAGGAAGAGGAGGGAGAGGGCAGGAAGGAGAGGAATGGAGGGGGAAGGAGGAACAGAGAGGGGAGGAGGAAGAGGGGAGGAGGGAGAGGGGAGGAGAGGAAATGGAGGGAGAGGGCAGGAAGGAGAGGAATGGAGGGGGAGGGAGGAGGGAGGGGCAGAGAGGGGAGGAGGGAGAGGGGAGGAGGGAGAATGGAGGAGGAGAGAGAGGGCAGGAGGGAGAGGAATTGAGGGGGAGGGAGGAACAGAGGGGAGGAGTAGAGAGGGGAGGAGGGAGAGGGGAGGAGGGGAAATGGAGGAAGAAGAGGGAGAGGGCAGGAAGGAGAGGAATGGAGGGAGAGAGAGGAGGGAGGGGCAGAGAGGGGAGGAGGGAGAAGGGAAGAGGGAGATGGGAGGAGGGAGAGGGCAGGAGGGCGAGAGGAGGAGGGAGAGAGGAGGAGGGAGAGGGGAGGAGGGGAAATGGAGGAAGAGGAGGGAGAGGGCAGGAAGGAGAGGAATGGAGGGGGAGGGAGGAACAGAGAGGGGAGGAGCAGAGAGGGGAGGAGGGAGAGGGGAGGAGGGAGAATGGAGGAGGAGAGAGAGGGCAGGAGGGAGAGGAATGGAGGGGGAGGGAGGAACAGAGAGGGGAGGAACAGAGAGGGGAGGAGCAGAGAGGGGAGGAGGGAGAGGGGAGGAGAGGAAATGGAGGAAGAGGAGGGAGAGGGCAGGAAGGAGAGGAATGGAGGGGCAGGGAGGAGGGAGGGGCAGAGAGGAGAGGAGGGAGAAGGGAAGAGGGAGATGGGAGGAGGGAGAGGGGAGGGTACCTGAGGGGAGAGGAGGAATGAGGGAGTAGGAGAGAAAGCCTAATTTAGGACAGCAAACCTCTTAAAAAATAAAAATGAAGAATACTTAATATACCACTTAAACCGCTGCATAATTTGTATTTAAAGACCGTCCCTCAATAAGCAAAAGGCGCGGTGTTCCTTGGCAACCACTTGTGGCCACTTTCACAAAGCGTCTGCAGCATCACTGTCAATATTATCATCTGAAATCTCTTCTGCATACAGTTATACTTTATCATTTTCTTCACTTCGACTTCTTTTATTGTGGGGAGACAGACTGCCAGCAAGCAATCTGTTAAGGAAATTCTAGATGCCTGCAGATTTTTAACATTTGTCTTGGGAACCCCTAGTGCCCAAAAGAGCTTCAGCAATTAACTTCGCCCCAGCTGTGCGTATTCGCACACCAACAGGCTCCCCACCGGTACCCACATCATTCCTCCAGCCACATCAGCCTGTGCAGCATCCTGCGGTGTGACTCCAACGCTGAGAAAAAGGGAGCTTGATTTCTCTCCTCTAATATAATACCGAGAGCTCTGGAGTGGTCTGCAAAATTCTCTTTTCTCTCCAAAACCGTCTGGAGTTCTAAAGGTTCAACTCCTGATAAAGCGACGCAGAGAAAGGAATCCAACTCCGAGAAATATGCACACAGATTCCCTGTGGGGGGGACCAGTCTCCCTTACCTTTATCATAGATTTCCTTCAAGACTCCTCGTTTTATCAGCTCCTCTCTGCTTTGCCTCATTGATATTTTCCTTTCCAGGGCTACAGCAAAAGACAGAGAAGCAGGTGTGAGTCAGTAACAGAGCTGCTTTTCAAAGGACTCGTATTAAAAAGTAGCTTATGGGAAAGCTTCTATAAGTCACATTTTATTCATGCAAATGAATGAAACCTGATAGGCATTTTAATCAGATTATTTCACTTGATCCTCAAAACAATCTTCAAACCACGTATGAGGTAGGCACTTTTATTTCATTTTATTGCACCCTGCTTTAAGGTGGAGAAATCTGTAGCATAGAGAAGTTCAATAACTTGTCAGGGTTACAAAACTATTGACACGAGGAGCCAGGATTCAAAGGTGGAAATGCTACCTCCACTCTTGGCCCATCTTCCTGATGGTGGCATTTCCTTGTAAGTGGGATTTTTTTTAAAAAAAAAATTATGTAGTTCATATGGATCACGTCTCATATTTTGAGAATTTTGTTGCTTCCCAACTATTAAAAGAAAAGGTATGAAAAAAAAAAAAAGAAAAGGTATGAAAATGTCTCCTATAAAGTGCTCTGGATTGAGAGATGGGGGATGGGGCCAGGTAGTGGGGGACCCCCGGGGGACAGGTGCTCATTGTTCTCCTCTCTTAGGCTCCAAATCCAAGCAGACAAGCGAGGTGTGAGCCGCCCAGTTATGAAACGCACCCACCAGGACCCAGCTGCGCGCCTGAGCCAAACACGTATGCAGGTGGCACTGGAGGAGGGAAGAGGGAAGGTTTCTCTGGGGTCAGGGGGCATGACAGGCGATGTGAGTGAAGAGTCCAGAAGTGGAAAAGTGAGTGGCAGCGCAAAGGGCAGGCCTGTGGCTCCAGGTAAGGTGGGGAAAGCCAGCAGCTGACACTTCTGTTCCTGCCTGAACACTGAGAGGAGGAGGTGAGAGCGTATTTTGGTTGTTTTTTGTCAGTTTGAGAAGCTCTACATCCTCTGGTTCGGATACACAGTTATGCCTTGGGGTGGGGGGAGCGAGTTATAAAATAAAGACACTTTTATGCAGACAAATTCAAATACAGATTAATTATACACAGACCACGCTCGGTAGAATTTAGTCCAAAGAATACAAGCAAGCACTAGAAAGCAAGCAAAGAAATAGGGACTGTGATTCTGTTACCTCTGAGCCATGTGACCGTGGTCAAGTCACTTGCCAGTCTGAGAAAACACTGATGCCCCAGCCCCAGTTTCTCTGATTTATTTACTTATTTTTAAAAGACTTTATTCATTTATTCATGAGACACACACACACACACACACACACACAGGGAGAGAGAGAGAGAGAGAGAGAGAGAGAGAGAGAGAGAGAGAGAGGCAGAGACACAGGCAGACGGGGAAGCAGGCTCCATGCAGGGAGCCCGACGTGGGACTCGATCCTGGGTCTCCAGGATGTAGGAGTTTTATGACTCATGCCAAAGGACACCCTGTGGTAGCAGGAGGGCAGAAAGATATCCTCTCTGCAGAAGAGGAACACCCAGAGAAGGGAGACAGACCTGCACACAGTTAGGTTAGAAAGCCCTGTCTGCTTTTGCTAACAAAAGTTAGGTGGACAGGTGGGCAGTCAGGGCCAGGGTCCCCAACAAGAAAATATAGAGTCACGACAGCAAAAATAAAACAGCACTAACATCCTGATTTGTAGCTGAAGACAGGACCACACCAGCATTCTGCTTTGCGGCCTTTGCAGAAATGACTTCTGCAAAATGTCCGTAAATAAGACAATTAATCACAAAGCATTCGTTAATGTCACGGGCAAGGAGCAGCTAAGAGATAAGCCCACAGATGTCAGTTAAAAAAAAAAAAAAAGACCATCAGCACAGAGACGTTAACCTAATAGGTTGACAGATTCGTGACCAAAGCCCTGATGGGCACGACCCAGCACACTCTAATGAACTAAGATAGTTCTTTTTTTTTTTTTAAAGATTTTATTTATTTATTCATGAGACACACAGAGAGAGAGGCAGAGACACAGGCAGAGGGAGAAGCAGGCTCCATGCAGGGAGCCCAACGTGGGACTCGATCCCGGGTCTCCAGGATCACACCCTGGGCCAAAGGCAGGCACAAAACCGCTGGGCCACCCATGCTGCCCGGCCTAAGATAGTTCTGCAAAAGAGCTCATAAAAGCCCCTAACCGTAGAAACTCTGAGGCAACCCTCAGAGCCCCCCCCCCCCTTCAGGAGCTTTATAACTATTGCTCAGTAAACTTTGCTTTCCTGCGCACTACGCTTCATTCTTCAAAAGTGGTGTGACTAAGAACTGTGGACACTGAGGGGCAAAAATCCTGTAGCCCTTTAAAGCCAAGATTTGCTTAGGGGCCCCATGGGAAAAGACTCAACAGGCAAGGTGGAGCAGGGGTTTTTAAGAAAGGACTTTGTTAACAGATCCTGTGGGTGGCATAAAGCCACCCAGAAAGCACACATAAAGAGGTGCCTTGCAGTCCCATATCGAACCACCAATTGAATGGGTTTCTCTTAATCAAAATGAGGTTTCTCAGGGGCTTTTCAAAACCACAGACAGAAGTAGAAGGACCTGATGCCCAGCACCAAAGGAAGAATCCGCAGAGAGGTGGGCAAAACCGTGGGCTTGGTGGTCTGAGATGGCAAGTTTCCATAGAATGTGGGTGCTCCCAGGCCAACCACTCAGCCACATGGACCTCTGCGGGCTCCCCATGCTCATTTGACAATGGCAGACACCCTGCTCATCGAGAAAGGTATTCTGGCAGGGGCAGGAGATGATGGTGACCTAAGGGACAGTCCCACCCCTTACAGAGTTGACTGACTAACGTGCGGTTCAGATGGTCATCAGATGGTAAAAGAAAGGGACATGTTCTAACTCCCCTACTGGGCCACGAGAAAAGGCTTCTCTGAGGAAGAGACTCAGGAGCAGAGCTTGGAAGATGAATCTGTATTATTTCGGCAAAGGGCAGTCAGGTAGGGGTTGAGGGACACTCCAGGCACAGCAAGCTGGGCAGTGGCTCCTGATGGAGGAGCCATGGTGCCGCTGGTGAAGAGAAAGCACCCGATGTTGCTGCAGCTGCCAACACCAGATGGAAGAGGACTCGAGATGTGGCCAGAGGGATGGGGGTTGGGCCAGGCAGGGCCTCATGGACCATGTTATTCTTAGGGCAATGGGAATAAATGATCAGAGATCAGGGCCTACTTAAGCGTGGGGAAAATGGATCAGAGGGAGGCCGGGTCTAGGGATCACCTAGTCTAGGCAAGAGATGGTGGTTGCTTGGATCCAGGTGCTGGTGATGGACATGAAGGCAAAGGATGCACTCAAGCCACACGAAGGTGGCAATGTTGCCATGGTGTCAAGTAAGGATGTGAAGGAGAGAGAGGAGTCGAGGGCAACTGCTTGGTTCTTGACTTGCACAACTGAATGGACAGGTGGTGTTGATTACGCAGTGGGGGATGCGGGATGAGAAGCAGGTTTGTAGGGAAGATGGTGCGCCCAATGTTAGTTATGCCTAAGAAGAGATTTCAAACACATGCTGCGGAAATGAAGCTGGATACTTTCTAAGACAAGGATGAGGGGCTAACTGAGATTGTGCTTATTAGCATAGACTGCAATAAATTCTTTCAGGTACCAGTGTCTCTCAAACTTTTCCATGGAAATACTCCCTGCCCTCCCCCTTTTTTAAAAGATTCTATTTATTTATTTATGAGAGACACAGAGAGAGGCAGAGTCACAGACAGAGGGAGAAGCAGGTTCCATGCAGGGAGCCTGATGTGGGACTTGATCCCAGGACCCCAGGACCATGCCCTGAACCAAAGGCAGAGGCTCAACCATTGAGCCACCCATGGTCCCTCCATGGAAACACTTTTTTTTTTAAAGATTTCATTTATTCATTCATGAGAGACACAGAGAGAAAGAGAGGCAGAGACACAGGCAGAGGGAGAAGCAGGCTCCACACAGGGAGCCCAACATGGGACTTGATCCCGGGTCCCCAGGATCACACTCTGGGCTGAAGGCGGTGCTAAATCACTGAGCCACCGGGGCTGCCCCATGGAAACACTTCTAATGGTGAAGCAGTAATGAATGCCAGGGGCTCCAAGGGTAGGAATGAGTTGGTTGTCCCAAGCATGTCATTTCTTAACTGCATTGAGTTCTTCCTTAAGATCTAAGGTGGAGGGGCACCCAGGTGGCTATTCGGTTAAGCATCCGCCTTCAGCCTGGGTCATGATCCCAGGACCACGTCAGGCTCCCTGAACAGCTGGGAGCCTACTTCTCCCTCTCTCTCTGCTCTTCCCCACTGTTCACGCTCTCCTTCTCTTGCTGTCTCTCCCTTTCAAATAAATAAAATATTTCCTTTAAAAAAAAGAACTAAAGTGGAGCTCACATAATAGATCTATCTGCTCTTATTTAAATCCAAAAATACACTCCACCCCCAACCAATTTCCAAGTTGAACTGACATCTTGGGAAGAGATGGCTTATTTATCCTTTCGCTTTGTCTTATTTCCTAGCACAGAACCCTGTTCCCACAGGGGATACCCAGATCATTTTGAGAAGCGTGGCATGTCACGTTATTTAACTTAATCCTCACCACATCCTGTGAAGTATTATCATTCTCATTTTTCAGAGGTACCTGAAACCCTGCAAAATTGACTTGCTCAGGGTCAAATAGCAGTAAGTGGCAGGGCAGAAAGAATTATTAACGCTTGTTTTTTTCCATACCATATTGTTGTGAAGATCATTAGGGTGACTATAGGCTCTAAATATAATCTAACATACAAGGCTCTAAAAATGGAAAGCAATTTACTTATTAGTTTATTTGGGGCTGTATGTCATAGTAAAATGGCATAATTACACTTTATTCTTAGGAGAGTCTTCCATCTGGGGCTCTTTTTTACACAAGGTATATGTGATGCTCTCTTCCAGTCTTATTTTTAGCAGCCCTTCCAAAGTGAGACCTAAGTTTGACTACAGGCAAAGACAGGCTCACCACTGCTCCGGGAAGTGAAGTAAAATGGGCTGTGTGGGCTGTGTGGTGCAGAAGATCCTCTGACCTG